AGATTTAGAATAATTATCATTTTGATCCATACATTGTTAAAGTCTGACTGGGCCTCGTGTCACTTTATGTTCAACAAACTGGGCCCCGAGGTCAAAAAGGTTAARAACCTCTGGTTTATAGCAAAAGGTCATTTGTGCTCAATTTTTCAGATAGGAGTGAAAATTATTGGATTTTTGTTTCAGCAGGTCTTCAGGATCTCCGAGGAGCAGGAGCAGCGACTCTCCTCGCCTCCGGGGAAAAGACTCTCCCCGTCTGAGAGGGAGAGAGTCTCCTCGATCCAAAGCCAAGAAGAACCGGTCCAAAGGGGCGGACTCTCCTCGCTCCAGAGGCTCCCACTCACCAGCAGCTAAAACCGCAGACTCTCCTCAGCTGAAAGCTTCACCTCCACCCACCTGTTCTCCTCCATCAAAGAGCTCGGACGCCGTCCGCTCACCAAAACTGAAGGGGTCGTCCAGCGCCTTGTCCAACAAACAGGACGACTCCTCTGCTCAGGAGACCTCAGAAAGTCCCCCGTGTCCCAAAGGATCCAGCTCCTCTCAGGTTAAAGGGTCGGACTCATTGCACTGCAGCAGATCAGACTCCCCTCTCYTGGGGAGCGTCAAGGAGTCTCACCAGAGTCGGAGTTCCCCCAAAATATCCGGATCCCCCGATCCCTCGCAGCCGAAGTCCCCCGACAAACACCCGCCCGCCTCGCAGCCGTCGGAGGAAGAGGTGGAGCGGCGGCGCGCCCAGGCCGAGCGCCTCCTGGAGGAGGCCGTGTCGTCGTGGAAGGAAGCCCAGGAGGTCCTGCAGGAGGTGAAGGAGCTGCAGAGCCAGACGCTGCGGCGGCAGCGCAGGAGGACCTACGAGAAGATGACGACGTCGGCGACCGCGGCCACGCTGGCCACCGCCGCCGCGGCGGAGGACGACGACACGCCGGCCTCGCCCACGTCCCCCGAGGACGACGACGGCTCCGAGACGCCTTGACGAAGATTTTGTTCCACTCGACTCTCTGCGCTGTTCTTGGATTTTCTCAGTAGAGGTAGCAACGCTTCCCAAGTTATGCAGAAAACAGGATTGATTTACAAACTTAATCCTGAAAAAGTTGTGTAAAATGTGAATTAAAAACAGAATATAATGATTTATAAATCTAATAAATCCTCGTTTTATTCATAATGGAACATTATAAACATCAAACGTACCCTTTTTTAATGGTTCAAAATCTAATTTAATATGTTTACTGTTCCTCTGGTAATAAAATATGCATTTATGAGATTTATAAACATTTTAATTTAGTTTTTATAAACATTTTACACAACTTTTTCAGCAACGTGATTTGAAAGTTTTTAATTCCACTTTGGAAACGATTTTGATCTTTTAATCCAGGGATGATAGGATGACCTCCCTCCCCTCAGCAAATGGTGGATTATTTTGAAACCAGCGATACGTTTCTTTCCAGGAGGTTTAACGACTTTAATCCTCCACAGTGCACTACGCTCCCACCAGGCAGAGACCCTCCTCGCTCGCGCTGCCTGTTTATCCCGGGACGCCTCCCTCCGTGGCAGATGTGTCACGTTTAATTTAAGAAAACACAGTTTTAAAACGAGAGGCTCTCCCCTTCTTCTTCTTCTCCTCCTCCTCCAGCGATGCTGCACGCTTTTCTTCTTCGTCTCTTTTTACAGAAAGTGAAGCCAAAAACTTTCGACTGCTTAAAAAAAAAGATGTCAATGTTTATACGATGAAAAAAACTTCTGATTTTGATAAATAACAAAGTCACTGAAGAGCACTACGTTTTCCTAAGCACAAACGTTGGACTTTGCTGCAAATTTAAACCTCTTTAAAAGTTAAAAGGCACGAAAAACGGACTTCCAACTTTAATGATTTGTTTTGCCTTTTTTCTGGCATTTCTTTTAAATTGCTTGACCTCGATTTCAGCTGTGGCTTTATAAATGTAGAGAACACGTCCTAAAATGTCTTTCCAGCTAATATTTATACAATCACAAAAAAAAAAATCAGGGAGTTTAAAGTTGATGAGCAGAGAGGAAGCAATAATGAACCAGTTTTAATCGTTTCTTAATTTGTGGTTGAGACTGAACAACAGACCAGCTCCGAGCTGTAAACTCTGCACTATGAACTGATTTTTAGTGTCACGTCATCTTGTTTTTACTGTGTGGGGAAACATTATTTTTATTTTCAAAGCTGAAACATGGGGATTTTATTTGCACAGCAGTAAATCTGACAAATGCTGGATWTAAAACCACAATGCATTAAAAAAAAATGCACGAAAATAATAAATTATTAGGGATGTTGTCAAAATAACGTGTTACAGATCAAACAAAGTTTAAACATGACTTTGTTGCTGCAGACGTGAAGCAGGTGGTGAAATGTAGGTTTCACGGACCTGAGTAACAGAATTACTCGTGCTGCAGATGGGTCGCTGACAAAATTTGGCACCCATGAGTGATTTATTGTGTCGCACGCCGGAGACTGGAGATGTGTAACAGGCAGAAAATGACTGACGGTGATAAAATTTACACACATCAGCTGGAGCTGTAAGGCTTTGTGTGTGTGTTTGCATGTTTCCATAGAGCTGCTAAAACAAACATCAGGATTTGCTCAGTTGTGTTGAAACGTATAATTCACTTCACCTGAGAGGGTTTTGATTCTCGTAGCTGCTGGGTGCTAGCAACATTTTAAAGGTCCAGTTTGTCGCATGTGGTGACATCTAGTGGCCCAAATGCAAACTGCAACGAGGGGCGGGCCTTTTAAGCAAAAAACCGCTSTTCGAATTTGTGCGTAATAATGTTTTTATTTAGAAAATTATCTTTTGCTCATGCAGGGCTAATAGCACAACAAAAGAGCGCCAATCCCAGCTGCTGCTTGCTTTTAAAAAGGCTCGGTTCTTCTGCGGTTTGGTCGTTCTTCTACACAACACAGCTCGTTTGCTCTGAAACCAAAGCTTTTTGAATCCAGGTCTAAGTAGAGTTTACGTGAGAAGATGAACAACAGACCGTTTGTGCCACTCACACACATTGGTTCAAGCGAAGGCTCGCGTTTTCAGCATTTTGGATGTAGCGGTTTAAATTCTGTTTGTGTTGAAATACAAAACTCACAGCGCCAACTAGTGGCCTGGCGTGGAAACTACAGCAGGTTTAAGCACAACGTTACAATACACTACGGCTGAGCTCACGCCATGGCTTCCACTTAATAATTCTTTCAAAATAAACTACCGTCTGTAGCACAAACAACGCTCTGAGTTGTGGTAGGTGTGTAGAATAAAACACAACTTGATGGTTTGTCGAACTTTGGGTAGTTACACATTAAATTAATGAGGAAGATTTTACATATTATAATGCAACATAACACTTTTTAGGACAAAGATAGGATCATTAAATCGCATTCCAGCCACATGTTTTACTTAAATATTACATGATTGACCCTTAAGCTTGTTTTTATCGAGCAGAAAATAGTTTTTTCCCCCAGAATTTTGTAACTTTTTATTAGTAAACACAGAGGAATGTGATATTTTCATGAAATTACATCAGCTCAAAGCAAATGTTTGCAGTGTTAGAGATGCAAATGGTTCTCACAGAAACCAATAGACTCACTAAACTGAAATATTCTTCTTTTCACAACTTAAAATAAAAATATTCTGATGTTTTAGGGTCATGAAAAAGTAAACCAGCTTCGTTAAAAGTCACATTTTGTAACATAAAACATTTACTCTGGTGTCGCCACATTTGAACGTTTCTTTTTATTTTCGTTTGTTTGGATGTTTTTGCACATTTTGTCATGAATAATGAGAGCATGAACAAGAAACTACTAACACTGGAAGAGCTAAATCACACTCTTTGTACTGTGAGGTTATGGGAGGATTTGTAATTTATTTTATCGTTTGTTCACATTTAAAAAGAAAAACAAAGCTTTTTGCAAGCAGAATCCAATGCTGTATTCACTGTCACTATATAAAAACTGTTATTTTACGTTTGGATTCTCTGTGTTGGTGTTTTGAAATGCATTGTGTGTACACAGAAACGGTTCGTTTTATTAATGCGTGGATGTTCCACGGCTCGTGGAAAGATTGATTTAATTTTGATTTGATTTATTTATTTATCAGGAAAAGGTTATTAAAAATCAAGCCTGACTCAGCATAATTGCTGTTTTACAGCAGGTTCCTGTTCTGCAGCACATAAAACACTCAGAATTACAGCATCACAATCACATCATTATACACCATAGACACAAAGACAAACAAGCATACCAAAGTTCAGGAAGGCAGCATTTKSMAAAWWDG